GCAGACCAATGCGTTTTCCTCATTTTAAGATTTAAAAAAAAATCCAAAAACACTTCTTTTATCATGATTACTGAAACTACTCTTCGATCACGGAAGCCTTTTGCGATGGAACTCAGGCTACTATATAGATTTCTTGCTTCGGATAATAGACCCAAGTTCTTTTTCGGGAAATATACGTTATGAAAAGTTTTACTGAATTTACCTTTTGAATCACGGCTTGTTCCCTTAGTCTTTGTTTCTCCTTCTCTTCAGCTTCACGACTCAGTTGTTGCTCGAGGCGCCGGCGCTCAATCTGCCGCACTGTACTTTGATAGGTGAACTTTTTGCCCTTCCGCTTCATCATGTCGGCGATGGGCGAAAGGACGCCTTTCCCGATCGACGTCGGCATGTCCGCCAATTCGCTGCCTGGACTCGTGTCTCGGCGCCGGAGTGGCGGCGCAAACTCCGTCGCGTCTCCGTGCACTGAATGAGGTCTTACGACTCCTTTAAAAAAAATTAAGAGCAATATAAACTTACTGCATCAGTTTGCGGTAAGTCAGCTATAGTCGAACCTCTTTGAGTACAATTTCATGGGGCCAGCAAAGAGATTTGAGTTGAGAGGTTTTGAGTGAGGGAAACAAGCATTTTTATTGTGGAAAATACAGAAGAATTGCAAAATATTGTAAATGGTGATATTTCGGGCCTAAAATTGCGTCCTAAATGAGTTGATAGGATGCTAAACTTGGAGGAAAGCGTTCATTTGTCCAATTAGTCTTTCACTTCCTTTCAAAACACATCAAGTTACTTTTTTATTGCTTTTATCGTTCCTGTGTAAAGAAAATTATAAACAAAAGGCCGCAGAAAATTCGTGTTACAGAGGTTTGAGAAGAAAAGCCTTTGAGTTAGGGAGGTTTTTAATGCATTGTTTCAAAGGAAATTCAGACAGGGGCTTGAAAAAAATTCCACTTGGTATTTGACTCATCAAGGGAGGTTCGAGTTCTCGAGGTTTAACTGTATTTAAATGTTGCACCTGGCTTTTCAGCACGAAATTTGAAGGTCTACAGTAAAACCTCTAAAAATAAAAAAATGCGGAACAAATATAAAAGCGAAAAAATTATGTAACTGCTAGTTTTAATTCTCAAAGTACCTTTTTCACCGGATTGATTCAGTATTAAAAACGCACCACTACCGTAAATATTTTTTTTCAAATTACAATGCGATGAGTCAAAAAGTTTCAATTAAAAAAATTACTCACTTCCGTGTTCGTTGTCGTAGCCCTCGTCGTCGTCGTCGTCATCCACACTCACGTCGCCGTGGTTCATGGCGGACCGGGGACGCCGCAGGGCCGCCGCGACGCTGCGGTACTCGAAAAAAATTACTCACTTCCGTGTTCGTTGTCGTAGCCCTCGTCGTCGTCGTCGTCATCCACACTCACGTCGCCGTGGTTCATGGCGGACCGGGGACGCCGCAGGGCCGCCGCGACGCTGCGGTACTCGGGTAAATAGACGATGTGGCCCGAGCCGCGGTGCCCGGGTCTGGGATGGTCCAGCGAGTTGGGCACTGACCGGGACATGGACCAGTTGTCATCCGCGGCGGCGACGGCGGTGGGGTCGCCTCCGGACTGCCGCCGCGCGTTTGAAGAAGTCCGCTTCAGTTTCCGCAGGCTGCTGAAACTCTGCGGCGGCTGCGCCGCCGAAACGCCGCCCAAGAGAGAGTCTCGTGCCACACTGGAGGGGAAAAATACCGCAAAAAGGATTCTCTGGTCAAAGTCTGGCGGAAATAAAATTTTTTTTTCCAACTTTCTCATCCAAATTTTTCGTCACTTCCGTAAAAAAAAACTGCTTTTTATGCACTTAGATCCAGATTGTGCAAACGAGTCGAGCAGGTTTGAAATAAATAAGTTTACAAAAGAGCAATTCACAAAACATTAGGTTAGCTTGTGTTAGAAAGGTTAGCTGAGGTTAAATCTTGGTGTAAGTAGGTTGAACAGATTAGTTTTCATTTAGCGAACTCGGTTTGGATATTCATGCTCTTCCACGTTTATTCACACGTGCTGTTTTTAATAAATGCTCGTTTCGTTTCAAAAATATCCAGCAAAATTCTTCTGGGATATTCCAAATACATTATTTTATTAACAAAAAAACATTCATGCGACGACTTCATGAAAGTAAGAATCTAGCTCTCTCGACTCTTTACGCGAGTTTCACGTCCTACTTTACCAACCTTTGCATTCTTTACTTAGTTTCCTCTTTTAAACTTTTGCAGATGAAGTCTTTAAAATGTTTCTGTGCTTGGAAATATAAGGTATACACAATGATATTTATGCACCACTTGTATAAATGAAAAAAAAAAAGATCTCGACTCTTTGAATCACCACATTTCTTGAATGAACGAAATACCACGAAAAATGTAATTGCATGGGGAAAAGGCTTCTAAATAATTCCAATTTTCTCTGTGACAAGAAGCAGCACGGAACTGGTCTTGATTCCCTTCCAAAAGTAAGGCTATAAATTCTTCGTCCGAAGTTGCATCAAAAGTAACAAGCAATTAGATTTTATCGCCTGGTTGGAATCTCTTCAAACAAGAAAGCATTTAGGTCTTCCCCTTCATCGGAATCCTTTGCCAGGTTCAACATACGACTGGTATTTTGTAGAACATACCGATAGTTCGTTTTTTTTCAAGTGTTCTTTTTTCAGAATTACATTACAAATTTTCACAAACAGTTCCAGGTACCTCGCTTCCATAAAAATTTTAGAGTACGACGAAAAAAGCAACACATATTTTTTTATAGAACACTCGAATTTTGCATGTAATTCTTATACATTTGTAATACAGTATTTGATCGTTCCGTGAAAAATTTTCAATTTTTGATAAACCGAATTTAAATGGACAGAATACAGGGAGTTTAATTTTCACACCTCTGCTAAAAAATGGGGTTCATCACGTACACAGCCTATTTATTTCATGAATTTTCAATGAGCGAGTGAAAATTCAAAACATTTTCGAAAGACCATCTCGGTGACGATTTTCCAGATCTTACATTAGCGACGTTATAAAAAAAAAGAATTTGAAATTTTATATTGGAGATGCTGAGCATTACTTTCCTTACACGTCTATTGAAAAAAATGACTTGCGCTTTAAGAAAATACCCAGGAAATAAAAGGAGCTTGTTCCTTTCTTGTTGATTCAACATTGGATTGAGGATTCTTGAATGCATCTCGACACCCAAAGGACTTGGTTTGAAGTACTGTATTGAGCAAACCCCTCGGAATATTCCGAGTACAGTTTTGCATTTTGAATGTTTTCAAGTACTGTAGGAGGAAAAGGATGATTCTCACGCTACAAAATGATTCCGAACATTCCTACACGGTGCTAAAAATAAATTGAACCCATTCAGTGATTTGGAGAATTCAGAATAAAAAAAAAAAACGTGGGTAGTAAAATATCATTCCTCAGAAAAAAAAAATGTCGACTTATTCCTCGCAGTTGAGCAAGTTTTCCAATCGTGAATATGACGATTCTCAAGTTCAAGAAGAATAATCGTGATATTTATTTTATTTTCAATAATCTATTCAACTCACCCACTAAACATGGCGTTGCGATGCGTCAGTTTCGGTGGGGTCGCCTTTCCGGCGCCAGTCGGCGCCAGCCCGTGGCCCCCATCCCCCATGCTGTCATCCAGGTCTTGTTCCGGTGTCCAGTGCCGCAACACTGGTGACGACGCTGCCAAAGGCGCCGCCACTGCGCCACCACCGCCGCCGCCGGTACCGCCGCCGCCGACAGCAGCTCCTCCAGTGCCGCCTCCGCTGGTCGTCGGCTTAATGTCTGGGTCGTCTCTGGACGGACCCGGGCTACCGGCGTCCCCAGAAATCCCAGAGTCGGCCGACTTTTCGTGTCCGTGGCGGTACTGCAACAGGTTTTGGCGGGATGACGATTCCCGAATGATGCGTTCTTCGAAAAGGTCTGGTTCGTTGCTCGAGCCGCCGATGGAACCTTTACGATCTCCTTGTGACACACCCTGTATTTTATTTTTTTCAATAGGTGAAACACAAGGAAGAACATTGAAGATTTTCCTTCAAAAAAGCTGGGATTTCAGAGAAAAATCCTCGGCAGTCCTACATTTAGCTTTAATTTTTATTTTTAGAACACTGCGTAAATTTTTCAACTCATTATTGACGTCATACGATCGGTGGTGTATCAATCAAAGGGTCCGAAATTCAAGCAGAAATTTTAAAAACTGCGTACATGTACATGAAAAGAGTATTTTCGGGAACTATATACGCTCCCAAATTCCAGTAAAATTGCTCAGAAAGCAACATAAAAAATCATCTATCCTTAGGACAATTTCTTAGTACCTCACCGCATTTACTCGAGAACAACACGCAACTAATTTTTCTCAAAAAAGAGGGTTGCGCGTCAAAAGTGGGTAAACATTTTTACAAATGCTTTACAAGTTCAGGTGTTCTTTGGATTCCAATGGGAAATTTTGGACCAAGTTCAACAGAGAAACTTTTTTTTTTAATGGGAACAATTAAAAATCAGTTAAATTCAGCTTCAATTCATGTCTAAATTCAAAATTGGGCGTTCGTATTTTTGAAATACTGGGGTTTTAGCGGGTCGCTAAAAATGGCGTGCGTGTTCCAGGGACAAGATTCTATCAAAATTGTCAACCAAAAAACTCTGGCATGTGTCTTTTACTCGAGGGCGTGTGTTACTTGAGTAAATATACGGTATTAAAATCTCGTTATAACGAATAATCGCTGACGACAAAGTTATTCTTTTTGTCTCGACCCAATAACCACAATGTTAAAACAGATACTTTATAAAGACTTCTTCATTACAACGAAGCTATTTTACTCGTCCCGATGGCCTCATTGTAACGAGATTTTACAGCACTTAATTTCTTCCGTTTTTGTCCGTCATTTCGGGAAGAAACCGGACATAAACATTCCAAAAATCCCTCAGGCAGAGTGAAAATGAGGGGGGAAATTCTGAGAGGAGTTGATTTTTTTTAAATAACCATAAAAAGCGTTTCTTGCTTTTTTCGTGTGTGTGTGTGTGGAATTCTAGATTTTGGCACATTCGACCCACCTGTTCGCGTCGTCGACTGTTTGCAAGAGCAGCAACAGCAGCTGCAGCAGCGACAGAACCTGGGTCAGCTTCTTGCCCAGTCAGAATCCCTCGCCATGCTGCTGTGGGCGAAAACCGAGGCATGTCCAAGTGTTTCCTTGGTAACACTGGCCTCAGTTTGACGGGGATGTCGGCTTCGTCTTCACTCGACATCGTCGACGATTGGTTCACCATCGCACTTACCACAGGCTCTCCTGTTCCCTCCAGAACATAACTGTCGCCTGGAATGATGAAACGGTAAATGATGACACTATACGATTCAAGTTCATTAACCTTAAACACAATTGTGCTTGAAGTTTAATTATTTACCTCATTATAACCATTATTATAATTATCTTTTAGCGCCCAAAAACTGCCGAAGTAATAAGTACCATGTCAATTTATAATCAAACAGCAATATTGATGATTTGGAAAATGCGCTGAAATTCAAAGAAAAGTTATTTTATTTCTATTTAAGGATTTTTCATTTTTAGTGGATTTCAACAATTGAAGACGATTCTTGTCGGTGTCTAAAATAAAATTTGAAATTCTGCAACTAACTGGAGCTTTTCACGCTGGAACAGCATTTTAATCGTAATAAATCTTCGTAATTTTGATTATGAATTCGCGTAGTTACTAAAAATCTACAAGAAGATTTAATAGCCTTGCCATCCCGTTTTTTCCCGAACCAATTTCCGGAATTTGAAAGTACAATACTCAGATTGAATTGCACTCTTTCTAGCCAATCGACATACTGTAATTTAAAACGTGAACACATCAAACAAATACTGCAGGTTTCGACACAAAACATGCACAGTATAAATAAATTATCTACAAATTCATGCAGATTAACATGCTTTAAAAATAAATGTAGATTATGAGTGTTCAATCTTGGCTTTGAGTTGATATTGTCACTTGGGACTTGTATAAAATCTGAAAAATTTGCAATCTTGATGCATTAATTCTCAGCTAGTCCCGGGTTTCACGTCTCTTTTCACTTCTGCTATATGGCTCACCTCCTTTTTTAGAACTTGAAAAAATATATTTTGATACAAAAAACCTGTTAAAATAGCATGAATTTAATGAGTAAAATCGAATAGGTAATTTATGCATTTTTTTTATATGTATCAAGGTCGTGAAGAAGCGCAAATTTTTTTTGGGGGAAATTCCAAAAAAAATCACCTGAAGAATTGGTTCTCACGACATTGGACTGCAGCCTGGACGCAAATTTCTCCACCTCGTCCACGGATTTGTCTTTCGCCTTCACCGGCGTTTTCGCAGTCACCACATTATTCGCTGAATTCGATGCACTCGGCTGTTGTTCCATGCCGAAATAAAATGTCTTTTTGCCGGCAGGAATGACTTCAGCCGATATTGCTTTCGATGAAGCCATTATGGGCTGTTGCTTCAAGTTACTATTGTTCACTTGCTCGTGTTTCTTCTGGAACTGACGCGGAAGGACTTGAACTCCCTTGGCAGGGGTCGAAGGGGGGCGAGAAGACGACGAAAGCAGGTTCTCCGAGCTTCGTGAAATCTGTTTTCGATTCGAGTTTTCCAAACAACACAAAAAATCACGAAACGAAATACTTTTTTAAAATGCACATTTCGAAAAACCAGGGGGTCAATCGAAAGAGAAAGCGTCGAGGGCTTCAATTTCGCTCACCTTCCGCTTCCTCGTAATTTTACAAACCAGCATTTCATTGTTACAAAAAAGGTGAAGGAATTGTAAAAAAAAAAAATCCATGGCAGCGATTGAATAATACGCATGGTAGGAACATCGAGGAATTCACATTATTCTCCACAACATCGCATCTACATAATTTTTGAGCGATGGAAGTGAACACCTTGACACGGGGATGTGATTTGCATTGCAAACCTCAGCCACACCTGAATATATTCCTTTTTTTTTTTATACATGTGATTGAAAATTCTTGCATCATGAATAGCCACTGTATTCATCGATACTTTACCTTTCTCGAGAATCAAGCAATGGCTTCTTTCTTCAAAACTTTATTCAAGAAAATGAAAATTTGCATGGATATCGAACTCGATGCGGTCAGGTGTGCATTTTTTGGTTCGTCCTATGCGGTTTCTATCAGTCAATTTAAAATTAACAATGCAATTATAGCTCAATCGTGGCATGTGTTGCAAATCGTAAATGGAAACAAAGCAAAAGAACAATTTGCATTGTGATGCGATGAGTTTGAATAAAGTCCCGATTGACTCAAACATTCCATAAATATTCATCGGCTGGCCTTTTGTTGTTGTTGAGTGGAGTTCTTTCTTATGGTTTCTAACGTCGAATTTACGATTGCATTTACACCTGATCTATTTGTGCTGGAATTATTATTTTTTTAATATCAACAAAATAATTTTATTTGCTGGCTATGAATATCGTTCGCACTGAAAATAATATTTGAACAAATCCAATGCTTTTTTCAACTCATCACAGCGCTTACACGACCTTTTCCTCTTCTATTTTCATTTGTAAATGCATATGATGCCATGATATATCGGCTGCAATTACAGTGATAATTTAAACTGATGCAAAAAAAAACAAGGCCGTGTCGAGTTCAATATTCATGGGAATATAATATTTATGAAGCAAACATTTTTAAATTGACTTCTGGCTCTATCAACAACGGAATTCAAGGGACCAGTAAAACAATTTCGTCGCACAGAACCCCTAAAACATGGGGAGATAACCCAATAGGACCACAGAGAAAATCGTCGTGGACAAGATCATTGTAGAGAGTGAGCTCCCAACTGTGCTTTCTTTTGATTAAAATTTTAAATACAGCTGAACCTCTCTAAATAAAATTTCATGGGACCATCAAAAAATTCCACTTGGGTAGGTTTTGAGTAAGGGAACCAAGAATTTTTTGTTCTTGGAAACATCGGAGAATTGCACAATATTGTAAATGGTGATATCCTGGGCCTTAATTTGCTTTTTAAATGAGCTGACAGGATGCTGAACTTGGAGGCAGGGATTCATATGACCCAGTTAGTCTTTCACTTCCTTTCAAAACACATCAAATTCAATTTTTTAAATCGCTTTTCTCTTTCCTGCGTCAAGAAAATAATCGACAAAATATCTCGGAAAATTCATTCGAGTTACGGGAGGTTCGAGAGGAAAATTCTTTGAGTTCGGGAGGTTTTTAATGCATTCTTTCTGAGGGACTTGGAAAAAATTCGACTCAGGGAGATTCGAGGTTCAACTGTACTTGTTTTTTACTCAATGATTTGCAGAAAGAAAAAAATTGACAAACCTGAGGCTGTTTGTAGGCGTCGAGCCTGGACGCATTTTCCACAACAGCGGCGTCTCTCCTAGATTTCCTCTTATTCTCGCTCTTGACAGACGCCTTACTCCTGGCAGATCTACTCGAAGTCTTGCTCTTCCGACTGTCGATAGTGTCGTTGGGATCAAACAACCTGGGCTTGGAGTGCACAGCTGCCCTTTGCGACCCAAACAAATTCTCTGGCACCAAGGAAGTCATGGACTTGCTGAACGCATTCACCCAGTTGCCAGACGAGGCCGGGACGTGGTTATTCGACGTCGTCGCCGAGACTACGGGCGTCGGTGATGTTGGCTGGAGACAATCGACACTGCGAGCCCGGTGTCGACTACTTGCGGCTTCTCGAGACCGACGTCGAGAGTGTCGAGGGGATGTCGAGTAATTATCGACACTGGGGTCGCGGAGCTCGAGGACAGAACGGCGACCCCAAACTGGGTCTTCACTCCGTGGCTCTGACTTGGGTCGAAAGATGCGCATTTTGGAGCGGTTCTTCGGGTCCGGGGTTTGGGAACCACCGCCGCCGCGACGCCACAGGGAAGAGAGGAAGTCGGACGCCGATTTCCGACCGCCGGACGCCAATTCGTGGCGGTAGTCGGACGCGTCTGTGAACGGATTCGGTGTTTTGCTTCTCGGACGCGGGTCGTACATGCCTGAAGGTTATTATTTTTTAAAATCAATAAATTTAATGATCCACGAAATCACAACAAGAACTGATTATTAATGTGCTATAATCGTAGCCCTTCATGAAGTACAGTATCCACACGAAAGAGATTTCTGCGTATATATGAACGGATTCGGCGCTTTGCATTTTCTCGAGCACGGGTCATCGTACATGCCTAAAGAATAATTAGTTTTCAGATCGATAAATTGATGTCCCACGCTCCCACGTTATATTACATCAAGAACTGATTTTTATTACAGTATAATAATTAAGCCACTTTATGAACTATTGACACAAAAGGGATTTATGCGTCTATATAAAGGGATTCGGCCTTGTGATTCTCGGGCGCGAGCCATACTATATGTCTGAAGATTATTTTACTTAAATCGATAAATTCATGTTTCCAGTAATCGCAAAACGACCTGATTATTACAGTACAGTGATACAGTACTATAAAATTATACCACTTCATCTGCACAAAAGAGATTTCTGCGTCTGTGAACGGATTCGGCGTTTTGAATTTTTTCGGGCACGGGTCACATACATGCCTGAAGATTAATTAATTTTAAGATCGATAAATTGATGCTCCACGTTATATTGCATCAAGAACTGATCATCAATTTCATTATTTTACTAATTTATTAAATATGAGTCGAAGAAAAACGGATTTTTTCATTGTCGGTGCTCCTTTTTTTATGTTAGACGCGCCAACTCGAACTAACCTTCCTACACACTTACCATCTCAAAAGTTCACCTGAATCCTGAATAGCACAACCCAACTAATTTTCAACATGCGTGAGTCTTCAGTAACTTCATGAGACATAACCTTCGTATGCTTTAATGCGTTTCAAAATTAAGCTGGATTGGCTAAAAAAAAAAAAAGCATGAGGAGCAGAGCAGAGCATTCTAATAAGAGCAGAGCCTTCATTTGCTGGAGTTCCTACAATCATAATTATCAACAGAATTATTTTTAAATGTGAAATATGGATTTTAAAACAATAATAATAGATCGAAAATCGAAATCTTCTTCTTTAAATTGAAAAGTAAAAAAAAATTCGCGAAGTGCGGAAAAATATCATTTCTCAGAAAGACACCTGCAAGATTTACAATAAAACTGGTTCTTCAATGGTTAATTACACTTGAAGGTATTTCAAATGTACGTGATATCAGCGATGCAGAAATAATAGCTAAATGTTTAAAGTTGGATTCATCTGTACTTCAGAATAAAAGACCGAGTCTCTTCAAGAAGATGTTCCAAAAATTAAAAAAAAATCAACATAAAATGCAGTACTTGAATTTAGTCGGTGAAAAAGTATAGAAATTTTGTTGGGAAATAGTGTATATACACACCAGCAATGACGATCCCTTCGTCCGAATCCGCAGGCGGCACGGGCGCCCTGGATTTTTTCTTCGACCTCGGCCGCTTCCCCCAAGCACGTCGATCGTCACCTCCGCCGCCGCCGCCGCCGTCGTCGACACCGTCGTCCTCGTCGTCAACATTCCCGTCTTGGTCGTCGTCGGGTTCGAGCAATGGGTCATACACAAGTGCTGTGGGTGCGTGGCGGCGCGGCGGCGGTTTCCCTTCCAGCTGCGCCGGCGACAAATTCGGCTCGCTGTCGAACCGTTTCGGCGCCCAATCCGGGTGACGAGCGGCGCCGTTTTGCCTCACAGGCAAGTCGTCGCCGCGGGTCGGTCGACGCTCATCCAAAATCCGACTTAAGATACAATGAAAAAATTTTTAAAATATTTTTCAATTTCGCATCACCAGTAAATCGCAAATGAAAATGTTATTTTAGTTTCGTCAATTNGGAAGTCGGACGCCGATTTCCGACCGCCGGACGCCAATTCGTGGCGGTAGTCGGACGCGTCTGTGAACGGATTCGGTGTTTTGCTTCTCGGACGCGGGTCGTACATGCCTGAAGGTTATTATTTTTTTAAATCAATAAATTTAATGATCCACGTAATCACAACAAGAACTGATTACAGTATTAATGTGCTATAATCGTAGCACTTCATAAAGTACAGTATCCACACGAAAGAGATTTCTGCGTATATATGAACGGATTCGGCGCTTTGCATTTTCTCGGGCACGGGTCATCGTACATGCCTAAAGAATAATTAGTTTTCAGATCGATAAATTGATGTCCCACGCTCCCACGTTATATTATATCAAGAACTAATTTTTTACCGTATAATAATTATGCCACTTCATGAACTATTGACACAAAAGGGATTTATGCGTCTATATAAAGGGACTCGGGCTTTTGCTTCTCAGACGCGACCCATACAGTACTACATGCCTGAAGATTATTTTTCTTAAATCGATAAATTGATTTAAGAAAATTTGTTTTTAACAGAATACTAATAAATCGAAAATCGAAATCTTCTTCTTTGCAAAAAAGCAAAAAAAAAAATTGGCGAAGTGCGGAAAAATATCATTTCTCAGAAATATACCCTTGCGAGATTTACAACAAAACTGGTTCTTCAGTGGTTAACTACACTTGAAGATATTTCAAATTTACGTGATGTCAGCGATGCAGAAATAATAGCTAAATGTTTAGAGTTGGATTCATCTGTATTTCAGAATAAAAGACCGAGTCTCTTCAAGAAGATGTTTCAAAAATTTAAAAAAAAAATCAACATAAAATGCAGTACTTGAAATTAGTCGGTGAAAAAGTTTGGAAATATTGTTGGGAAATAGTGTATATACACACCAGCAATGACGATCCCTTCGTCCGAATCCGCAGGCGGCACGGGCGCCCTGGATTTTTTCTTCGACCTCGGCCGCTTCCCCCAAGCACGTCGATCGCCGCCTCCGCCGCCGCCGCCGCCGCCGTCGTCGACACCGTCGTCCTCGTCGTCAACATTCCCGTCTTGGTCGTCGTCGGGTTCGAGCAATGGGTCATACACAAGTGCTGTGGGTGCGTGGCGGCGCGGCGGCGGTTTCCCTTCCAGCTGCGCCGGCGACAAATTCGGCTCGCTGTCGAACCGTTTCGGCGCCCAATCCGGGTGACGAGCGGCGCCGTTTTGCCTCGCAGGCAAGTCGTCGCCGCGGGTCGGTCGACGCTCATCCAAAATCCGACTTAAAATACAATGAAAAAATTGTAAAAATATTTTTAAATCTCGCATCACCATTAGATCGCAAATGAAAATGCTATTTCAGTTTCGTCAATTTACCCTAGCTGTTAAAACGGACATCTTCTGATATAAAAAGTGGAGCTGATTCACAGCACACGTGCATAAAGTCAGATGAAAACTCCATCAAACTTTTTACAAACGTAAGATGGAAGAGGGGAAAAAGGCCTTTTCCAAGTTTCTTCTCATAATCGCAGGCGCATAAACTCGGAAGTAAGGTGTGTCATTCCGCGCTTGAGGATATTTATGAAGAAAAGCTGACCTCATCTGATTTAACCCAGACTATGCCAAACCCTATTATTGACACACCTTATTCCGGAACGAGCCCTTCAACACAGATCAACGATTACAGAAGGAGAACAAAGACCAGTATTTCTTTTTAGGAATTCAGCAGCACATACGCATCACTCCTAGTTTTTTTTCGTGCTTTGAATTTTCTGGAAAAATAAAAACCACGCGGAACTTCGGGTTTTAAAATAATAATATCCTGAGCTGGAGTAAAATACTGTACCGCGGAGTTTCGCCTAAAAGTGATGACATGAGATTTTAAATGGCATTTCAGGTTCCAAGTTGGATAGAATCGACAGAATTGACACGAATGCATAACAACGAGAAAAGTTCTGGAATAAGCATGGCATATCCTTCAAACTCTTGCAGATTAGACCAAAAATAAAATACATGCGCTTGAGCATTCAAAAAACGATATCTTTTGTATGTTTTGAGCAATTATCTTGAATTTCTGCTGAAATGGATTAGGATTAGGGCTTGATCTTAGCTCCATTTTCGTGTATCATTCTCACGTAGGTTACCATCGTCATGCCATGTCCGACATACCGTAGATTGAATTCTACCAAAACTGAAATTTTCACATTCCACATTCACATGCGGAACGTGTCCCAATACCGCGCGGCCACAAGAAATTTCACGCATGTTTTGTCACCTTTCGAAATCAGCAATGCCTCTGTAAAATTTTCGAATTTAAAACAAATTTAAAATAAAAGCTAAAGCGCGTCATTTCATCAAGACTTAGCTACAAATTCCAGCTATTTTTGACGAGAATGCCAGACCTTTACGGCCGAAAAGTTCTTCAAAGGATGCATTAATTCGATTTTGCCAAGATAAAAATGAAAATAATATTTTAACTTTGAGAATAGATCAAATCTTCTACAGAAATCTGAAAAAAATTCATCTCATTCCACTAGCCAAAAAAAAAATGTCGATGCCTCAAATTAGGAATTCCTTGATCCGTTGGGTTTCGAATCTCGGCCTCAACTCATACTGATTTCGAGCTCCATGCCGATAAGTGGAAGCGTGGAGAAATTTAAGAAAAACTTTCGGAGGTCATTCAGAGACATTCCTGCAATTTCGAGAGGGGTCGTCATATAGTCTACAGGAGAACTGGAAACAAATTGTTCGACCGTTGTTGGGACATTGAATCCAACCAACTGACCTGAGGGAACGTTCCCGTCGATTCGCCCTGGGTTCGGAGTCATAGCGTTCGATGTCAAGTCGGTGTTCGTCTAGACCCGATCGTGACCCATTCCCCGTCGATCGAATTTTGATGCGGTCATATTTGCCGTCGGGAAGTTTGCCGGCCAAAACGACGCGTTCTTCACTGCGCTGTCGACCCGTGGATTCGCTGCGGGATTTGCTGCTTCCATTGCTGCTGCTACTGTTGTTGTTGTTCTTGGCGTTGCTGTTGGTGTTTGCTAGGGACTGTTCAGCAATTAACAAGTCTCGTCTGCGACCAGTTATTGTACCGCCATTGTGCAAAATCGAGCCGAGTTCAGTGGGTCGAAGGATTTGCTTAGGTGACATCACGCCTACATCCGGCAGGACCTAAAGAAAAGAAAAAAAAATTGTTCAACAAATTGACATCGATCATCACTACGAAGTGTTCATTGCTGTGCTTCTCATACTTAACGCTGAAATATTTTCAGAATTTGAGAACAGTATACGGTTCCACAATCGAGACGGATATTCAAAGCCGAATAACAAAGAATTCTAAAACTACAATAAATTTAGCTGCATTCGTATACGCAGAGTAAAAATAATAAATTTCAATGGAATAAACATAATTTTTTTCAATAAATAGCACTTGAAAACTCTTGAGAGTTTTCAAATTTTAGTTTTCAAAACGTGCATGGGAAAAAAAATCAGGGGGCATCCGGATTTGAACCGGGGACCTCTCGATCTGCAGTCGAATGCTCTACCACTGAGCTATACCCCCAATTGATTGAAATGAGTCATTTAATAAGAGTTTGGAATTCCAAGTCGGAATTCAAAAGTTTGCCAATTAAGATAAGGCACTTAATTTTTGAAAACTTTCCCAGAAGCAATTAGACAGAAATCAAAAGCCAAAATGCCGCTCTTGGAAACTTGCTAACCATCAAATAACACAATTGAAGACTTGTGATTCATCTAAAGTACTGTTGATGCCTTTTTAAGTCAAACTTCAAGGGACCAGCAAAAAATTCAATTTAGGGAGGTTTCAAGTTAGGGAAGCAAGCATTTTGTTGAGGGAAAGAAAGAAAGAAAGACTTACAGGATATTGTAATTGTTAACGCTCTGGGCCTTAAATTGCTTCTTAAATGAGTTGAAAGACTGCTGATTTTGAAGGCAAGGATTCATATGTTGTCCAATTAGCAGTCTTATTTGACTTCCTTTCAGAACATCTCAATTTACACTTATCTTTCTTTTCTCTTTCTTCTGTCAAAAAAAAACAAAAGACTAATTGCCTCCAGATAATGTGAGTTATGGAGGTTTAAGAGGGAAGCCATTCAGTTAGGGAGATTTTTGATGCATTGTTTCCAAGGGAATTCAGACAGGGACCAGAAAAAATTGAACATTTGGAGGTATTTGATTCAGGGAGGTTCTACTTAATTTCAAGGTTACTGAAAAATAATTTTATCAATCCCAAAGTAATGATTCCGATGGTTCAACACCGCCCATTTAAACTCAGAAAAAAACCCTTCCTCATCTAATCACGAATTAAATAAGCCAGGGCGAACACACCTTGTTTTGCGGCGAGATGCCGAGGCGGCGCTGGACGTCGTCAGCGGACCGCCCAGCGCGGACTCGAACCGGCGGCGCCCTCGGGTTACCAGACTTGCTGCGCGGACGCCGCGGCGTCGTGGCGCCGGTGCCGTAGTGGAGGTAGTCCTCTTCGGCGTCGGCGTAGCGGGGGTCGTCGCGGTAGCGAACCAGGTGACGAGGGTCGGCAAAGCCCAGTTGCTGCGGATGTTGCGCCAGGTGCATTGACTGCGAACTCGACGAGTTGCCCATGATGACGCCTGCTGCTGATGGCGGCGGCGCCGCGTGGACGGCGACCTGATGGTGATGGCGGTGGTGTTGCTGGCGGTGGTTGAGCGGGTGCGGGTGCGGGTGCACCACTGCGACGCCCGGTGTTGGGCCCGCCCAGAACCGCGGGTCTTTTTTGCGCATGCAAAGAAATAAAACGAGAGGAGGAAATTAAAATACAGTACAGTATAGCACAGGTACTGTACATAAAAAAAAAAATCGACGGTACTATTTATTAAGAGACTGCGATTCTTTTGCGCTTCCTGCGCCGGAAAAATTGCGTAAAAAACAAACACACCCGTTCATCGGGAGCATCAAAAGTCCAGAATGAGAATTTAAAACCGACATTTGAGCTGCTTGTGATAATTTTTTCGGTTGATTTCATAAATGATTCAAAGCTCATCCAGCCTCGCAAAAAACCCAAAAAGCTCTTCATACCCCACACCACGACATGAACCTCCAAAACGATTCCCGATATTATTTATATTCTCGCATGAAATACCGATTCAATAACTGTGACAGCGGAGAAACGTTTGATGAACCCAGGGTTAGTGCAAAAATTTGCATAAGCAAAATACGCAGGATCCGCGAAGTTTGACCGCCTTCGAATATCCCTTCTAGTTCCATGATCATACCGAAAAAAAAATTGGCAAGACTGCATCTAAAGCATGAAATACGTCAAGAACCGATTTCCCCGGAGAGCGTATCTCTCCGCTCAATGAATTGGAATTGCGAAGCGCATATTTCCTATAGGGCAATGGGCAAAAATAATTCGTGAATTCCACTTGGGCAGGATATAACTTTAAATTCATGGCGACGAAAATTATTTGCGCTCATAACCAAGGACATACAGGCGGATAAAAAAAAAGTGTATGTCTCTTGGTAAGGACAACATTAACGGCTTTTATTCATGTACAGTATTTGAAAATTGAATATTTGAGCAGTTTTCATCCTTACGAAAACTTTAATTTAAAGAAGTAAAATTGAGAACAGTACTGTACTGTACTTCACTTTTACTCGAATTATTTTTCATGAAGCAGATTCAAATCACCGGAAAGCCCTACTGTACATACAAAACAATTTGTTGCCTTTCTCGGAATTGCTCGCTCAATTTCGCAACAAGCAAAATAGCTTGATGCATTTGTTCGAAACATTCAGCTTTTTTTTTTTTTTTTCATCGGCATCGTTCAACAGGAAATCATTCACTAAACCAAGAATTTCCTGATCGAGCGATGGAACACGTAAAATACGTCAACGCTGAAGCTAAGTGCTTCTTTAAATGCTCGAAATTCGCGAATTATCCGGCATCGAATCATTCAATCTTGAGATTTTACGACTTGAATCAATAATTAACCACTAAAAGCCGATTCAATGCATTTGTAGGGCTATTAATTGGTTTTTTTTTTCAAGAGTAAACTCTTGAGCAATTGCATTTTATATTCATCTTATAACCTTGAGTGCGTGCTGTGGGATCTGAAACTCGCGAGCTCTCAACATGAAATTGAATGGAGAATTTTATATTCGCAACGCACTTCCGAATGCTTCAAGCCAACTTTATGCATGCAAAAAAACGAAAGAAGTAACAATGACACAAAGAAATGAGGGCCTTGACAGCTTTGTTACCTCAAGGTATTCGGAAGAGTTCACGGTATCCCACCTTCACGCATTCCGGGTCAAAAATGGCCAAGAACTCAATTCCGCACAAAGCGCTCGAAGGAGGCAGACTGCGATGAAAATACAATCCATTGAATGTGCTGTTAGTTACGCTATAAAAATATAAACGAAAACGGAGTCAAAATAGGATCGTTCAAAAATAGCGAACAATATAGGCCATCCGAAGAAAGAAAAAAATAAAAGCTTTTCCGCAGCAATCCGGCAACGAAAGAAAGCTTTTAATTCATTCACTCATTGGTTTCCATAACCCTTTGAGTAATCTCATCGCCATGAGCAGCGATAAATGTTCAAGGTTGGCTAACAGTTCCTATTGTTTCCCAGGGGGCTCAGAGTCGCTGATCAGCCACAAAAAGGTAAAATTGCATTTCAAGTACTGCGAAAATGCGAGAGTTAATGGCTTCATTGCTGGAACCGTGAGAAAACTCCAGAGTTACCTCAAGGCTCTCATTTACGTCGCGTCAAGGGACATAAATTGAATTCTGCAATTTATAGTCATAGTGGACTGAAAAATCGCGTCAGCCTTTTTTTTCTCGAACGCATTATTTTCATCGATTTTTGACCCGGAATTTTTCCCCATTAATGCTTGTCCGAAAAAGTTTTATACTACTTTACATAACATCAGGAATATATATTTTTACCAAACTACTGAAATTCTGAAAATGATAATAAAATTAAATGCTGTATCCCAATGGCACTTCGTGAGGTTATAAAAAAAAAGTTTCATACACAATTCCGTAGTAAAAAAATTGGCATTCCGAACATATTTACGTAAAACCAAAAGAAACGGTTTTTTTTGCCGTGAAGTTTGACGAATTCGGGAAATTTATTCATTGCGTCGCAAATAAATTTTCCCAAACGTTTTGTGAAACAACTTTTTTATGACTCATATTTTGTTTCGAACGAGTAGTTTATACGCAATCCGTTACTCGAACGAGAGAAACGGAGCTGCAGAATTTGACGAGCAAATCGATTAGCATTAAAAGGGCAAATCAGGTTAAAACCGCAAATGATTACGTCCAACAGGATATTAAAAAAGCAATCAATTGAGGGAAGTAAGTGATCGGACAATTCAGATCAAACAGCTCAAGTCCAAAGCAGACTTAAAAAAAGGACACAAAACATTCAAAGCATAACTCTTTTTAGTAGAGATACTTGGACGATGAAAATGGAAGTCATGTCTTCGGTAAACAAGTGTAATTTAAAAAGGAAAATGTTGCATTAATATTACAAGAGCTTTTTTTAAAATTTGTACTGCGATATAATTTTATTCAGTATCATGAACACGTGCAGTTTTTGGAAGAGTCTTGAGTAGTGCTGAAAACTTTTCCAGCACCAATTCAAGTCTTAAAAAAATAAACCAAAAACGCAAAGAATCAACAGAAAAAAGAGATCTCCAAAAAGTGAAAAACCTGAGCAAAACGATCTTGAATAAAAAAGGTAACGAGGTATTCCACGACGAATAAAAAAACTTCAAGAATCCTGGGAACTGAAGGGCAAGAAACAAACGACAGGAAAGTAGTTATTAAAATACACGTTTGAAAGAAAAACGTGTTTGAGGAGGGGATCTTCTCGGATGGAAGAGGAGGGGGGGGGAAAAAGGCACGCTTTTCAGTTGGGAATACGGAAATCCCAGGCTGTATAGAACGTGACCCAGTTCCCGAAGCAAATGTGCGGAGACGCTCACACGCGATTTGCGAAGAAACGCGTGAGAGAGAAAAAAGCTGTGTTCAAAGCCGCAATTGCTTTCTTCACAGTTTACACACATACGCACACACATTTATATATACAGTATATTGTATATATATATAAATATATTCACAACTTAGATTAGAAACCAGAGCATTACTTTCGGTACCAAGACGTACCGAGAGTCCACGTGACTAGAAACATTATCCACATTTTTATTTTCGGCTGAAAAAATCCCAATGATGGACGAAACTGACAGTTACACATTCTCGTTAGATAATTTTCCCCCCTTTTATTTTCGCGGTTCTACTAAAAACGCGGAGGTACTTTCAAAAATTCCCGAAGTTCCTCAGGAAAATCAAGTACTCCAAGAATATGCACTATATTGTGCTTCTAGGGGCGGTTTTCACATATTGTAATGACCCGCTAAGATATCTTAGATGGGGTCACTCCTAGTAAAAATGAGCAAAAATAAAACTGCTGTGGTCAAAATTATCCCATCATTTTCGGAAAGAAGGAGAATCGAGACCCACGAAAAAGATAATAATTTCGGGATCTTGCACAAACTTTTCTAATCCTGAGGCAGCGAATCCAATTTATTTATTGTTTCAAAAAATGGAAATATGTCAATCCACAACCCAAAATAGCGAAAAACGGAGAGCAAAGAAGGAGTTTGTTTACGAGTCAAAATGTATTTCAAACATGAAAAAAAACCGCTAGAATCACGATAAAAACACAATATAAAATTTTTAGTCTGATAAACATTAGTGAATTATTGTTTCCGGAATGTAAGCAATTTTAAACTTGATTTCACGACACTCACGAGTATTCCTTTCTCAGAATGAAAAATTACGAAAATTTTATGCGCTAAAAATAAACAATTGTCGCTTCTCTGCGATAAGTTTCATTTCAAACTCACGTTTTCGAGTCTTTTCCGCGAACATTTTTTGAAATTACACGGAAGAACAGCTGAGAACACAAAAAAAAAACCGAGATTTCTGCGATCTCAATTCACTCGGTTTCTTTCGTGAGAATATCCTTGAGCAAAATAAGAAAACAACTTTTTAAATGCGTATGGTACAAATGAGGGAATACTTTTTGCTGGAAGTTCATTCAGAAATATTCAATTTTTTGTAACTGACACGACAAGGTTCTTAATTTCATACGAAAAACAGTAAAAGTACAAAATGCACATCTTGAAAATGCTCTCAACACCAGGCCTACAATTGTTTTCGGATTTCACTGTTTAGAATTGAATCTCTGTTGGATCACTTCACATCACCGACAGAGGTGCCAACAAACGGTAAATCCCACATGCAGAAATATTGTGATTGAACTTGGAACATCTAGACTTGAAAAAAAATACATTGCGATGATTTCGCACGAATAAAATTCCGCATTTTCATGGCACAGCAGGAAAAAAAGGATTTCCGCTGACGCAGGAAGGCCAACGTTCAGACAAACGGGAAACAAAAAGGGAACTTAAGAGCAGAAAAATCTTCCCTGGAATTAAAGCGCATTGAAATTACGCTGAAAATTGACCACTTCACAGAGAAAAAAAATGCAGAATATGCGTCTGACTTCCACACAAAAACAAACCTAGTCAAACATGATTTCAAGAAAAGCTGGAAATAATAAAATTGTCAAAATTATTACATTTTTCCGAGAGCCTATTTTCTTGAAATTCCCACTCACTTCAATATTTCTATCAAGAATGAAAATAAATCTTTTACGTGTTCATCATCAGTGTATTATTGATTTAAAAGCTGCT